GTCATGTCTCGGTCATTCCTTCCTGGTCATTGGCTTTTTATTTTATTTGAACTTTCTTCTATATTCTCTTTTTGCTTTAGAAAATTGTGTTCTCTTTTCTTGCTGTTTAGCAAGACAGTACTAAGCAAAAGTACTGACAATTCCCCTCCTGCCCAACTTCTTCCCAACTCCCCAGTTTTCCTTGTATCTAAACTTCATATATGGCAGGCTTCTGGTCTACTGCAAGGCACATTTAAAATTTTTATGTATTAACATCTATTAATCTTTCTTTATGTTAGTTCAGATTTTGATTTCATGCTTAGAAAGAACTTGGTCATACCATTTCTCACTCTGTATTTCACTCTATTGTCTTTACAATTTTTTATGTTAAAACCTTAAGAGCATCTGGAATTCATTTGAGAATGAAGGAGGAATGTAACACTTTCCCCCTAAGATGAATAGGAGGCTGATGTGGCACATGCATGGTTAATTTGTCCTTTTCCTGTACATTGAAAGAGATGTCTGTATGGAGCCGGGCCCTTGAGCATCTGTGGCCTGTCTCACAGGTGCCCCAGCTCTGTGGCCCGCTGAGGTTCAGGAGCCCTGTTCAGACAGCCTCTCCAGATCTAGATTCTTAATCCAGCAGACACATGGCTATTTAGACAGCCATCGACTCAGATGCTCTCGGAAACACATGTCTTTGGAATATGAGCTTCACTAAGTTATGGATCAATTTGGAAAAAAAGTTCTATGGTGCTGGTTTTGAGATTGAGCAAATGTTTCATGCCTTCCTCTCCAGTATTTACATGAGAAACACAACACACCCTGATGACCAGCCCCACACTTTCCCTCCTGACATGGCCAGCACACAGCTGTCCAGCAATGCCGAGTCACTGTTCCGAGCACAGACATTCCTGCTTCACTCCCAGCCTCTCTGCCAGGCTCTCCTGTGCCTCACCATGGAGTTTGATGCCAGCTGCTCATTTCTAACAAATGTTCTCTGTAATGTGAAGAAATCATAGGAACAACTGTTTATTTCCTTACAAGCCATTTAATCGGTACACTTGGTAATTGCTTAGATTTTCTCCCTTGGCAAATTACTATAAATTATACTAATATATTTCATGCTAATAACTTATTTCCACATTCCTAGTAATAAATCTTGGGTAGTTGATGGCACATTATCCTTTGAATTTATTCCTTTGTTCAATGTGAAAATATCTTATGAATATACCTTACAGTAATACCACACCAACACTCGCAAATATAATAGTTCTGTAAGTACATTTTATTGTTTTGTTCTTTGTTAAGTTCAGGTTTAAATGTGCTGCTAGCCTTGTATAACCAGTCGAAGGCAACTTGTTACCTTTCTATGCTTTGGGATATTCTCACCACCCCAGCTCTTCTGTACTGGGGATCTTTGGTAGAAAGCCTAATTTTGGTTGTGAGCCTAGCCTTTAACGGCTGAGCCATCTCTATGCAGGATTGTTTGGCTTGGCCTGGGAGGAGGGGACTAGACCTACCTGGACTGAGTCTACCAGGTTGACCTCAGTCTGTGGGGAAGGCTTTGCCCTGGAGGAGATGGGAATGGGGGGGGGGGCGTTGGGGGGAAGGTGAGGGGGACGGGAGGGGGGAGAACAAGGGAATCCGTGACCGATATGTAGAACTGAATTGTATTGCAAAATAAATTAAAATAAATTAAAAAAAAAAAAAAGAAACACAAAGAAAAAAAAAAAAAAGAAAGCCTAATTTTGTATTCCCTGTGCTGAAAAACTCTTTCCCTTGGTCATTGCAGCCCAAGCCATAGCATTGCAGTCTGGGCGCAAGGGTTTTAGAATTTAGCTTTGCTCAAAATACCCAAAACTGTCAAAGGCTTAAATGGCTTATAAAGGTTACTTAGTAATCAATGTGTATGACTATTGCGTTAACTTGGGCTGTTTTAAAGAACGTGTTTCATCCCCTTTGTGGTTTACAACATTGTGCCTGTAGCTGACATGTCAAGTTCACGCATTCTGTTATTCGCCTCTTCAGGCTTGTTAATACTAGTCAGGTCTCCAGTGTCTTTGTATTTTATTTCTTTGATATTCAAAATCCTGTTCAATGGGTTAAAATTCCTCAAAACCAAACAATTTTTTTTTATCAGATTCCCTTGTGTGTTTTACTTTTGCCTACCTTCTTGGGGGCTAGTATGTGAAGTGCAGGCACTCCTGGCCACAGTGCCTTCACTGTGGATTGCACAGGCCTTTAAGAAAAATTACCCTTTGCCCCGTTCACTACATTTAGTTTTTTCTGTATTTGATACCAACACCTGCCAATGCCTGTTTATGCTTGCACTTTATCTGTTAGATTCTGACTCATCTCCTGACGGCCAAAGCCTCACACTCCTGCATGCTTTTCCTGCAAACAAATCCTTGTTTGCCTTTCCAAGCACCCCACGGTACTTCAGGCTTGGACTAGAAAGGTCCATCCCTGTATTTTGGCTGTGTAATGACTGACATGTTCAGCCATGAACTCACTACTTCCTTTTTCTTTTGCATATATCACCTTTCGACCACTTCCTGTCTTACTCCCACCTCTCCCCCAAACCTCCACCTCACAATGGCTGGCCCACTATCATCTTTCCTTTTGCTGTCTTCAAAATTTGGCAAGTTATATATCCCATTTCTGTTTTCCAGTAGTACCTTTCAGCTTTTTAAGATAAAATACAAACACGTTCTTGACCTTATGTTTTGCTGTAATTGTTTCCATGCAGTAAGTCTTGAGAGAGACAGCCTGGACTGGGTCTCCTCCCCCACGACCTTTCCTTATCAGATGTGGAGAGCCCAGAGTCACAGCGATGGCCAGAGAGAAGTTTCGATTTGCTCTTTCTGGCTTTGTTAGTGTGGCTTGGTCTGCGCCACAAAGTCTATTCAAGAAGTGGAAAGTGGTGAGCTGAGCACAGGAGCACAGGAAAGGGTATTATTTGGTGGGGAGGGGAAGTGAACCCACACACACTGAATGTTCCTTTCACTGATGTAGGTTTGAACTATAAAAGCTATCTATTTCTGGATGTGTGTGGTGAGCATGGCCGCCTATGGTGCACACTGGGTATTTGGCATTTGTACTTTGCGGTCAGGTAATATGTTACATGATATGTTTTATCAAATGCTTCTTGATATCGGAGAACTCACTGGACTATTAATCAAAGTGACCTCTTTCCCTCTTTAGCAATGGAGAAAGCTTTTGCTATTGTTTATTTCCATATTGTTTCCTCTGTATTTTCCACCATCTTACCTTTTGAGCTTCATTAGATATGTTGAAGACATAGGCAATTATTCACACTCCTTAACTTTTAATTACCATGCACAACTTTCATTTTTTGTTCCCTTCTGGAGAAACTTCAGGGTCCAACTTTTCTTTAGTTATACCCATTGATGGTGCAGGATTCTGAGTATGTATGTGACAACAGCAGTAGTAGGTGTGTGTGTGTATACAAACACACACACATCACATAAGCATCACGTATTTAAAGGACTGTGACCCTCATTTTCACAACAGCCCGTGCTTGCTTTGTGGGAATCCCCTAGAATGCGATTTATGGCCAAACAACAATTCCTCGGTCTTGCTCTTGAACTTGACTCCCTTCTCACTGGGACTGTACTCCTCAATAGCTGGTGGGTTTGGGTGATTTCTGGCACTGTACTGCCCAATTTTTGGTGGGTTTTGGTGTTTGATTGCCTTGAGATCTGGCATTCTTTATCCCACAGGACTTTTTTGCTATGACACAGCAGGGGTCTCGGTGAGTCTGTATACCATGCTCCCGGGTGAGGGGCTTCCTAGCTCCTGCTGAAGGCTTCCAGATCTCAGACTATTACTCAACTCCTAGGTTCAAATCCACACTCACCATCTCCACTAATGACAGCACTATGTGTGGGTTTTTGTGAGTGTCTATCCTCCTGACTGCCCTACCATGCATACTCTACCACTCCCCAGCTCCCTTCCTGCCCCTTCGTTCTCCATGTTCGGGCCTACAGCACCTACAGAGCCGCTCTCCATTTTTCAAGTCTTTTCCTGTGTGAATCTGATGGATGGTTTCCTTTTTCAAGTCGATTCCATCTGCTTTCTATCACGCAAGGATTATTCGGAGTTCATTTTATTGATGGGGTTTTGTTTCCAGTTGTATCATTGCTTTAATAAAACTCTTATCTTGGATTTGCCAAGATTCAGAATGGGAGGTGGAAGCAGCAGAGCACAAGGTTGGGCATCTTTCTCTTGTTCTTCTGTTGTCTTTAAGATACGTCCAGGATCAGTTGCTTGAGTCTGTTGGCCGAAGCTGGCCCTGCTCTACTTGCTCAGAGCCACTTTACAAATGTAACATTTGCCTTCACTGAAAAATTTCTATTTCATAAGTTATGGAAGATTTATCTCTAATCTCTCCTCTCCCTCCTGTTTCTTGTTCTGTGTGAGTCAGATTTAGACTTTCTCTTACATGGTTATTAATTAAAGTAGATTGGACAAATGTGGGTCTTATCTACCCTGGCCAAGTTGAGTGGAATACATATAACAATCCATGGAATTGAGCCAAACAGATACAGGCAGCACTGAGAAGAGGCAGTGTATAATTGACAGGCTCAGAGGAAGGATGTCTGGCTGATGTCCTAAGTCCATTTTGAGTTGCTATGACAAATATCCAAGGCTGAGTAGTCTAAAGTGAAGAGGCTTATTTGGCTCATGACCCTGGTGGTTGAAAGGTCTAGATAGCATGGCAGCATTCTGGCAGGGTTGTCTGGCTGTGTCATATCACAGTGAGTAAGGAAGGTGTCAGCCACATGAAGAAGGATCCAAGATTGGGGTGGCTTATCTTTCTAATAACCCTCTCTTCTGAGAATGAACCTGGGCTTGTGATAACTCTATTGATCCCTTCTGCTACAATGATTGAATGCATGACCTAGTCACTCCCCCCGCACTCCCCCACCTCCCACCCCAGCTAAGCCATTCCTTAAAGTTCCTGCGCCTCTCAACACTGTCACCCTGGGACCTTGTTTCCAGCACACAAACCTTTGGGGACTAAACATAACCAAACCGTAGCAGTTGGATACGAGGAGCCACACCCAGGACAATGAGCTCATCAGTCTGTTCACAGATGCTGTGGCTTGGTGACTCACTAAGTACCACAACTAAGCGTGATCTGGTTCCCACAGACTGTGTCTGGGCAGATGGCAGGTTTAGTGGTGAAAGCCTTGGTCTCTAACACAGTAGTTCTCAGACCTCACCATGCACTACAATCACCCGCAGGGCATGCTGCTGCCACAAACAGCTGACTGCCAGATTTTCTGAGTCTGTAGGTCTAGGATAGGGCCTAAGAATGTGGACTTGGAACAAGTTCTCAGATGATATTGTCTCTGTTCATCAGGGACACACTCGAGAGCCACTGAGCCAGACTTGGTGGATATCAGATTCCTGCCCATTCCCAAACACTTCTTTTAAAAATTAGTTCATTATTTGATTGACAGATGATAATGTATGTATTTCTAGCCTATTGTATAATATTTTGGTTTATGTGTGCATTATAATGACTGACTCAGGATATCTAGATTGTCTATGATCTAAAACATGTATCATTTATTTGTGATGTTCTTCTAGCTATGTTGACTTATATAACCCTGTCAACTATATCATACTTATGTAACATCTCTTTATAACAGCTCACTGGCTATAAATGACCTGGTGTTGGTGTGATGCCTTTAATCCCTTCTGATGGTGTTCTACCTGTGATGCAATCATTTCTTAGACTCCAACCCTCCATCAGTTTGTGTCTTTGCGGTCTTTAACACATCTTCCCACCCTCCATCTCCCTGACCTCCCTACACTGTATCCACGGTCTACTCCGTCTCCATTCATCTCCAGCATTCTCTACTAATGTGAGCTTGCGCAAGCTCCTGGATGTGACCCAGCCTCAGTGTGCTTCACCAAGGCCCCAAACAGCCTAGAACAACAGAACTTCCCGTACAGGGTCAGAATAAAAAAACAAACAAAATTAGTGTATGTAAAGCACTGAACGCATTACCAAGTTGCAAAAACCACTCACGTTGTTCTTTGACAAAGTTAAGGAAAGTCATTTAGAATTTTAGAAATTTCATTTTTTCTGTTGCTGCCATGTAGCTTCAAATATTCATGAGGAAGGCTGTTGACCTCATATGCAGGGGATGTGGTTTCTTCCCCTGTTTTCTTACCATCCTAAAATTGAAAAAAAAATCAAAACTTGAAACATCTTAAATAGAGAATATCTACAGTTTCCTCTCTAAGATGTTCAGACAAGTGCTCAAATGTTCTCACCTTCCAGCCTGCCTTGGAGAGGCAATGGGCCTCTATGTGTGGTCTGGATGTTCATGCGCAGGCCCTGGGCCCCACGTCTCAGAAGTTGGACTACATCCTTGGAACAGTGTTCTGTGTTTTGACAGCTTGCTATCTCTGGGTTGAGTGTGAAAACTGGTCTGGGAAGGTAGGATCTTTAAACTCCTCCTTAAGTCGGGAAATCCAGAGGGCAGCCAAGGAAGAAAGGAGACAGGTGGTCACAGAGCACCGGGAATTCCTTGCTCCAGGAAGAGGGAGCTGATCAGTGTGGCACAGTTGGGCAGTGTGTGGCTTCTGCCTTGATCTTCAGCTTCATCTCTTACCTCAGGCCTTTGCACCATGACAGACAGAGGCTCTGAAGCATGACAACAGAGGCCCTTTGCTCCAGCCTGTCAGCTGGTGGGGGTGGACCTGGGATCTCTACAGCTCTCTCCTCAGTGGCGTACTGTAGTGTGTCCTCCTCAGTGGTGTACTGTAGTGTGTCCCTATTACTCTACATCATTTTGGAGAGGCCTCTGCAGCAGGAAGAAGTAGAAGGGGCAGGTGGAGCAGCAAGCTTCGACACTGAGGACTCTGGCTCCTACCTTGACCAGTCAGCGGAGCTCACCCTTGGCAACACGTGAGTGTCTAATTGGTAACCCCAGAGAAGTAATTTCTTGCCTGTTGGCAGTGTACAACACTGCTAATTGCTTCCTTTCTTCCTTCCTGTTTTCATCCTCCTGCCTAGCTTTGCCTCCTCTCTAGATTTTCAGTGTTGATAATCCCCTAGTTCCTCATTCACGTGGATACCACGTGATTATCTCAGGGGATGCAAACAAGGTACATACTCCGAGAAGAGGTGATATATTTTAGGCTATTTGAGATAGGCTCAGAGAAACATCTGAAAAACCACATAGTCCAGTCAAGCAGGGGCCTGGGTAATGTGTCTTGCCATGCATACCCAGCTGCACAGGATGGGTGGGGCTGGGGGATTTCATGCTCCCAGCCTGGGCTTCTAGGATGCATTCTTTGTGTCTCTCCACCCACAGATGTTCATGAACAACACAGAGAAGTTCGTGTTGGCCAGTGCCAGGTGGGTGTACAAAGCAAAGCCTGAAAGATTCTGTCATTTTTGCTGGTAGGTTCTTGACAGGTTTTTGACCAGCTTAGAACAATTTTCAAGGCATCAGTCCTCAGTCCAGCTTGAGAAAAGGCATGTTTGGTTGTTGTTTCATCAATGCCTTATTATCCAGGCACGGCAATACGACTTCCGCTCAGGAGGACCCACTCCAGAGCACATGCCGAGCTCCTGGGCCGTGGACCATTTTGTCCATCAGCACGCTTTCTGTTGAGTTTTATGAGGCAGGCAGCATTCCACCCATTGCTTCCAAAAGCCACAGCTCAGCATGTTTTCCAGAAATCATTTTAATAAAAGACACATGAAAAAGTATAAAACCTCTTTAGCAAGTGTGAAATGAAATAAAAAAAAAAACAGTTACAAAAATATCCAGGAATCTCATGGGTAGACTCACCATCAAGAAGACCTTAGGTCCCTTCCTGGGTGAGATGTCAGCTTCCTATGTGGATACAGTGAGAGCTCCTTCCAGAAAGATTCACTGTGAAGGGGAAGCAATGAATGCCAATGCAAACAATTGGACTTGCTCTCATTAGCTCAGTTCAGTGTCCATTTTCCTTCTGTCATGACAGATAACTGATGGTTTCTGGTTCGAATCCTTACACCCTTCACTCCGCTACCATCTAAACTTGCAATGCTGCAGATCCCGTAGGAAAATCTCCACCATGTGAGCCCACCAAAGATCCTGATGCCTTGTCTACACCATACAAGTTCCTGCAGGTTGGCATTGGCTCTCTGAGTTTCTGGAAATGCCAGGCTGAAATTATCTTACCATCATCGGATCTATAAACTTGTAGTTAGAGTTTTCCTGCCTGGCCCACAGTCAGGACAAATCTCTCTCACCTGCCAGTCCCACAGCCACTCAGACCCGACCAAGTAAACACAGATACTTATATTGCTTACAAACTGTATGGCCATGGCAGGCTTCTTGCTAACTGTTCTTACAGCTTAAATTAATCCATTTCTATAAATTTATACCTTGCCACGTGGCTTGAGGCTTACTGGTACTTTACATCTTCCTTGTCCTGATGGCAGCTGGCAGTGTCTCTCTTACCCAGCTTCCTGTTCTCTCAATTCTCCTCTCTGTTAGTCCTGCCTATACTTCCTGCCTGGCCACTGGCCAATCAGTGATTTATTTATTGACCAATCAGCAACACATTTAACATACAGAACATCCCACAGCATAAACTAGTGAAAAGTTTATGGAGGAAAAATGGCATCAAATCTCTTAAGATATAAAACTTCTACTCCAGCCAAGATTTCACTGTTAATGAGCTTATAATGCAAAAGTGTGCTCTTAGATACAAAGAATGTGAAAATGCTGCTTGACTGACTTACTGATAAACCCACTGCAAATTGAAACTATCACACCAAAAAAATCCCAAACAAAACAAAAGCATTTAATACATAGCTTAGTGTACCTTAAATGTTCTTGGAACGCCTATATTAACCTATAGTTGGGTAAAGTCAGGTTATACATTGCTTTATGATGTATTATATAATACACTGTATGCTGAACTAGAAGCAAAAATGGTACCTTCTGCACCACTGTAAACTCAAAAGTCATAATCAAAATCATGGTAAGATGGGACTGTCTACATTACAGATACATTACAGACTTATTGGCAGATCCTGAACTTTTCATGAATAGAGTACATACTCAATAAATTGTAAACTAAGTTACAAATGAGCACTGGAACAATATGGAACACTACGAGGAATATTAAATGGTCATAAGAGACTAACATGATTGATTTCTATGGACTGCAATGGGAAGATGCCAGTTGGATCTCAAGTGGAAACACTCAGTTTTAGCGTAACACACATAGTAGACATTATCTGCAGAAAGCAGACTATTTTCATAGTAATGCAATGTGAAAGAACATGCCTTGAATGCTGGTGGTGGTTCTGAGAGCTAGGACAAGGCATAGAGGATTGTGGGGGATTTTCCCACTCCCAGTACATCCGAACAATTCTGCTGCTAGAATATGATCTTGTCAAGGTATTTCCACTCAGCTCTGCTCAACTGTTATGTAGGGACCCAGTCCAGAAATTTCGGCTGCCTTTCACATCGCTTTCCTGATGAAATAAGTATGTCTGAAAAAAAGAGGTAAAACCTGGAGGAAAGGGAAGGGACTGAGGAAGGAATGCAAGTTGCCTGGGTAAATAGTTCACATATATGTTTACAATGTTTTGACCATTTTTAAAATCACCACAAAGATCAGAAAACAGAAACAAGAAGGCAAAATAAAACTGCTTACTTTACAAATGATATGAGCAGTTTCCCTGGACACAGACATCTCCAGTCTTGGTCCTCGCAGTCCTTCTGAGGAGGGATGGCCAAGGAGTCTACAGAATAACTTTCTGCACTACTATCCCTGGATTCTGCATCTGCAGATTCAGCATTCCCCAAATACTCCAAACACACGTGCATGAACACAGTGGTTTACATCATCGGTGTTATCCTCAAACAACAGGCTACAGCTAGTGTCTGAGCAGCACCCACATTGGACTAGGCTACACGTCCTCTAGGAGGGATTTGGAGTATACACGAGCACACATGCCAGTTATTTACAAACACAGAGCCATCTTAGACCAGCCACTTGAGCCTCCTCAGGTTGGGGCATTTGTGGAAAGTGAGGACTAAAGTCAACCCCACGTAGATACTGAGGGGTGACTCTAATTTGAGCCCCAGTCACATGAAGAATCCCATAAAGAAGATACCACCAACAAGGAAGTAAGTCACAGCAAACACCAGAGACCTATGACACCAGGGGTAGGAAACCCAGAGCGAAGCTTTGACACAGTGAGGCTGTCAACAGGCCCTGGTGTCCAGGAATGTTAGAAGCCCAGAGGAGCAGATCTGAGCATCAGGCTGCAGGCTCCTGGTGGGTGCTGGAAAAAGTCAGGGTACAAGGCTAGCCAGGCAGGAGACCCTTGAGGGGTTGCTGGGACTGGGAGAGTGTAGCGGGTGATGCAGGCGTGTGTCAGTCCACTCTAGGAAACTCCCTCAGACAGGAGCTTCACCAGCTATATCCCCATGGAGATGTACAAGCTCTAGGTGTCAGCCCAGCCAGCACGGCCGAAATATGCTGCTGTCAATAACACCCCTACCCATCACTCATCTCAGGGTCTCAGGACACCTGAGCCAACCTTCATGCTTTGTGATAGTGTGTCTGGTCTCCAATCCCCTTTCTGGCTTGGGGCAGGGGCACATATGCACCTGAGCAGTAAAAATTGTCTCAAGTTCATGTCCTGGCCCTTTTCTCTCTTGTGACTTCCTGCCATTCTTAGTTAGGCTACCATCTGATACCCGCCCTGAGTAACTGTTTGCATGTGTGGTCTGAGGCTTTGGCTCCCTATGTCCCTTTGTTTAAGTTCAATGTCACATTGACGAAATCAGCATTTCTCTGAAAGAAATACGCTCTCTCCACTTTCATGAGATGTTCCTGCTTCTTGCACAAAGACTGTCACTCACACCATTTTAGGTCAGTTTCTGCCTGTCAGCAGTCTTTGCTAACCCTAATCAGCCCAAAATTAGACAGACTTCCCATTTCCTTCAGGCTTTCTGCCATGAGATACTACGTAGCCAGTACAAGGAATGAGACGGAGTTTCCTGCCTAGAGAGGAAAAATGATCCCTGAACTGTGTTCATGTTAAAACAGAGCTGTGTGAGAGCATGTTCGGAAGGATCTTGTTTCCTCAGTCTCCTCCTAGCACTCAAACCTGGGTGTCTTGATCTCTAAACTCTGGGGACAGGGTCCTGAGTAGTACCTCCATGCACACTGTGGTGCTGTCTGGGTGGGCAGTTTGTTGTGATGCTGGTCTGGGGCTGGACTTCGGAGCCAGATCGGGGGCCACTGTCTGGTTTCATTTCTTTTCTCAGGGTTGTGCAGGCATGCAGGAGTAGGCCAGGGCTGTCCCCTTACCAGGTCAGGTTAGGCTCTGGTGGAGACGAAAGCTTTGCCCACTGCAATAGTCTCCTGGGGTGGCTGTAAGAAATGGTTACAAGATCAGCAGCCTGTGACAACGGATGCTTGTCCCTCGTAGTCCTGGAGGCCAGGAGAATGAAGTCAAGGCGTCGGCAGAGCCAGGCTTCCCACTGAGGCTCTGCAGGCTGCTCCTTCTTTTCCCCTTCAGCTTGGTGACTATCATTATACTCCTGGGCAGCAACTGCATCACTCCAATGTCTGGCTGGATCCTCACAGGGCTGTGTAGTTCTAAGGACAGATTTGATGGCATTAGGGCCAGCTGGTACCCTGGGGTGAGCCCCTCTCAAGGCCTTTCTTAGGTCTTTAGTCATGAGGTGTTATTTACAGGCTATGGGGAGCAGACACAGATGTATCTCTGGGAAGTTACAGTATACCTCAATACAACTCCTGTGACATCGATGCCGTGGTATCGGAAACACAAGCCTTACCAGGTCCCTAAAATAGAAAGTCCAGCAGTTAGCCAATGGCCAAATGAGTAATGTGTCCATGTGCTAAACACAGAGTTACCTGGACTCTGTCTTTCTTTGCTGCTCTGATCTCAATGTGTCCCTGCTGGGCCAGTTCCAGATCTCTGTGCCAGGTCTAGCCCTAGTGGTTCCCTGAAGGGAATGGTCACAGGCCTCTCTCTCTCTCTCTCTCTCTCTCTCTCTCTCTCTCTCTCTCTCTCTCTCTCTCTCTCTCTCTCTCTCTCTCTGTGTGTGTGTGTGTGTGTGTGTGTGTATAGGGGAATTGTATACATGAAAATTTTGCCATATGATAGAGCAGTGAACAGCTGTCCGTGGACAGAAGTGTAATTTCTTGGAATTCTGATCAGCACAGGCAGCAAGAGGAGCTTCCAGGTCTTAGGAGTTTTATAGGTGCATTATACCCTGGCGTTTGGCACAACACCCCCAGGTGGGGAGGCCAGGTGTTCTGACAGCTGTCAGTGCCAACCCTGCTCTGACAGGCCTCGGCTTGCACTCTGAGCCCAATTCAGTTTGTGAAGTTCCAGGGACTCAACGGGCCCTTTCCACTTTCCCTGATACAGCATGGAGGAGGGGGTAAAAATCTGGATAAGAAACGTGGCGCTAACAAAAATGCCCTGTGATGGGAGGTAACTTCTTCTCCCTGTTTCCCAACTCTCTAATAAACTAAGTTGCGGGCCGCCAGGTGGCCTGGAGAGCTGAAGCACCAGTGTACGTGTCGGTGACTGTTGTGTCACTGAGACCAGAATATCTGACAGAACAGGAAAGGAGAAGCGTTTATTTTGTCTCAGGGTTTCAGTAGGCTCCGCCCATGCCTGCTTGGCCTCAGGTGCTTGGGCAAAACATCAGATCATCGGTAGAGTGTGGCATGGGAGTCTCACCCCGGGTAGACAGCAAGCAGAGAGGTACAGAGAGAGTCCAGGGCAGATCTAGCTCCCACATTTACCCTGGTGACCTACTTCCTTTACCTACCACCTTTCAGTAACTCTCAATAATGTCATCATATTATGAATTCATCAAAGGATTCGTTCATTGCTTAAGTCTGAGCCCTCGTGATCCAGTTGTCTGTAGACACTGGGGTCCTTGACATGGCCGTGCTGATGTCAATAATACACTTTCATTCAGGATTTCATTGGCTCCCCACACTTGTGGGCTTAGATCAAGGGACTGATTTGCCCTTGTTTGCAAACCTCTCCTGTTTTGGGTACTAACCCCATCACCACTGTTACTATCACAATAACACATTAATAGGCTAGATGTGAGCCGGGCGGTGGTGGCACATGCCTTTAATCCCAGCACTTGGGAGGCAGAGCTAGGCGGATCCCTGTGAGTTCGAGGCCAGCCTGGTCTACAGAGGGAGATCCAGGACAGGCACCAAAACTACATAGAGAAACCCTGTCTCCAAAACAAAACAAAACAAAACAAAACAAAAACCCCCAAAACAACAAGAACAAAAATAGACTAGATGTGGGACACAGACCTAAGAGGCAGTTGGCTTCCTTCTGCCTCACACCTCCACCTCTGAGGCCCTCTGGGAGCCTTTGTTTGCACTCCTCATCCAGCCCTACATCAGTCTACACACACTCTTGTATCCACCAGGCTTTCTGCAGGCCACCAGCATTAACTGAAACCAACCGAACCTGGTGTCAATAGGCAAAAGCCTTAGGGTATTTTGATTGAATCCAGACAGGATCTGTGGCTTATTTATGAACTCACATGGCTTTTGACTTCTGCCTTTTTTTTGCCAAATTGCTGACATGTTCTTAAATTACCCAGTTTGTATTTTCCTGTCTTCTCTGTTCCCTGGGAAGACAAAGCCTCAGGCGTGTGGGCTTCCTTTGCTTACAACAGTGAAGGTTTCCCTGGGCTGCTGTCACCCACCCAGACCACAGGGATTCTTTGAGCCCAGCTTTTAGCTCCAAGGAGCATAGACAAGAGCATGGTGAAGAGGAGAGGCCATGTTTATTGTTTAACATGCATAACAATGTAATATAAACTTTGGTGAGAATTAAAAGAATTCCCAAACATGGTTTGTGCCTTGGCAGGTTGACCTCTAATGGTCTACAGAGATCTAAAGAACTATCAATTGCTTTAAGGGTTGACAAGATGGCGAGCATTGGAGATGCTTTTTTACAGTTATTTTACAGCACAGAAGTGGCCTATAGGTTTGGGGACAGTGAACTTTGTCTTCTTAAACACATTCCAAAAGATTTTGCCTGTGGCCTGTCATCTAAACTCCACCCAAGTCTCCATAACCTGACCCCTTCTGGAAGATACTAAGCATTCCCAAATTTAGCACTCCTTCAAGGTTCAGACTGGGCCTGATTAACACATTGTAACTTTCTAATTAAAGACAGGGATTGCTCCGTCATCCTTCTGTTTCCACAGTTACTCTGTGGATTACTCACTAGAGAACATCAAAAGGAGGTAGAGAGAAGCAGCCTCCCACACTGTAACTGGGATTGTCACTTCCTAAGAGGAAACTCTCACTTGCTTTACCTAAGCCCCCTTAGTTGACTCTTGTGAATTTGCTCTGGATGTTAAAAGCATCAGCCCTTGGCCTCATCTGCTTTGGACGTATCCACACAGCCCTAGGATATCCATTACTGGACTCTGATGGATCAAAATGGGTCCACAGATCTTGGGACACTCCCTTCAAATGGTAGATCCCTCCACTTAAGTATAGATGGACTTAGTAGCAACACACTTTGACCAGATAAAAGAAAGATGGAGTAATGGATATAACCTAGACAGTGATCAGCTGCTGCATAATGAATTGCCATGAACTCACCACAAATCTAAGGGGATTGTCTCACAGTTCTATGAGCCAGAAATCCAGGCACCATATGGCCAAGTCTTCTACCTAGAGACTTTCAAGGCTAAAGCCAGGTGCTGGTTAACACTGAAGTCTCCACTGTGTCTAGCTTGGATTATCAGTAGAATTTGGGTCCTAGAGTTATAGACTGACAGCTACAAGAACTCTTGGCTCTCAGAGCCTGCTCTTGGGACCTTGAGAGCTGAACCCCATCCACAACATGAACTTTGCTTATTGAATCAGCGCTTCTACCTTCAAATTCCTCTAGGTTGTGTAAAAAGGTTATCTACCAAAACAATGTCTCCTGGAGTATAGGGGACTATCCTGGAATTCTGTTTGCCACAGTAAGTCACCAGGATCTCCAACTCTTGAGAAGAATAGCTGCCATGCACTGAGGACATCCAAGCAGCCTTCTGGAGAGGCCCACACAGGTGCAGTCAACCTCTAATCAAAAGCCGTATGAGAAGCTTCCGGGAAACAAATTCTGTAAGCCCTGCTAAGTCTGCAGATGGCATTTCCTCAGCATCCATCCTTCCTGCACCCTCAGCACAGGCCCTCATCCCCAGCTACTCAGCCTGACTGCTTCCGGGTCCCTAGCCCATCAGCTCACGTGCAGCGATATGTACTTGCTGACTGGAGATGCCGTAGTTAGAGGTTATGCAGTACTAACTCAAGTACTGTCTTATGCTTTAGAGAAGTGATTGCTGGCAGTGGGAAAATGCTGCATTGCAACACGGGCAAAAACATTTCAACAACAGTGCTGTCTTCCTGGACTCAAAGACAGAGGTCTCATCTGGACCTTTGTCACATTCTCAGTTATGCTGTGGTCACCACTGGCTCCCATCCCTCTTCTGTGGGAGATGACAAGCCATATTGCTAAATAACCAGCCCATTCCCTGGAGCCCTGCTGCTTCCTGGTTCATTCCAAAGTCTTCCCAGCATCTTCCCTGGTTCCGATTTGTCCTTAGCTCCACACTGAGAACCAAGCTTACCATCTGGTTATCCTTCTGTGGGCTCCTTGCTCTCCTCTTACTGACGGGCCCTGCTTGTGCCATTGTACATGGAATGTGAACTGCAGCCGGCATGATGAGTGAGAAGAAGAAGGCTGGGACCGCCTAGCCTTGGTTTGAGTGCCATGGCTTACTTTAAGTCATTTCATAATAGGAAGGGAAACTCATGATGCTAGGCTGCTCCCCACCCACCCCCAAGCTGTGGATTCAGCACAGGATAACAAATCACAGCATCTCTGCATCCTCCCTCCTTTGTCAGTTCCACACCCTCTAGAAATTTCCAGATAGTGTGGCGGATGCCTAGACTGTACCCTGTGCCTAGAAGAATGAATGAATGCACAAGACTTGGCTTCAGGACGTCCCTCCTTACAGCCCAGTGGAAACCTCTGCCAGCCCTATGAAGAGCTGGGAACAAAGGACTCTTCGAGCTCCCCACCCCACACACCGTGCACAGAGCAGGGAGAAGCTGTCTTTCTGAGCAGTAGCAAATCCATGTGACATGCCACTCCAGACAGAACAAAGCTAGGGCCAGGACCATTATTATTTCAGGTCGGTTCATCTTGAGCTGTCAGTGGCCAGAAGGCACCCGGTAACACAGTCCAGCCCTTGCCTCTGTGAATCATTAGCACTAAGCATGAGATGTGCCTGGATCTAATCTAGCCCAAGCTCAATTACTTCACTCAACTGATTGGAACCTGCCTGGATCCTATTCTTCCCACCTTGGCAGGTGTGCAGCAAGCACCAGGGACACACTTCCCGTCCAACTGGGACCATGTGTCCAGAAAGCAGCTACAGGAACCTGTGAGAAACTAGATTCTCCAGCTCATGAGTCACTTTCCTACCCACGACTCAACTAATTTCCAGGCCAGAAGTGGGATGCTGGGACACACACTGTTACAGGAAGAGAGAGGGAGGTCCCAAGACACAGCCACCCAGATGTTCCTTCCCATATCACTGAAATAGGGTGAGAATCAATGCCCAAGCACCCTGGAAGGAGGAGGCTGACCAACAGACATAGGCTGTGGAGGAGGCCAAGTTCCATCTCTTAGCTACAACTGCACCCACTCTTTCCCCCATCTGCACTTTCCAAGGCCAGCATCTACCTCTCTATGAGAATTTCCCTCTCACTTTACTGTGACCTGGAACCAGTGCTGTGGGATGTTCTGTATGGCAAATGTGTTGCTAATTAGTCAATAAATAAAACACTGATTGGCCATTGGCTAGGCAGGAAGTGTAGGCGGGACAAGGAGGAGAATAAAGCTGGGAAGTGGAAGGCTGAGTCAGAGAGACACTGCCAGCCGCCACCATGACAAGCCGCATGTGAAGATGCCGGTAAGCCACGAGCCATGTGGCAAGGTATAGATTTATAGAAATGGATTAATTTAAGCTGTAAGAACAGTTAGCAAGAAGCCTGCCACGGCCATACAGTTTGTAACCAATATAAGTCTCTGTGTTTACTTGGTTGGGTCTGAGTGGCTGTGGGATTGGCGGGTGAGAGAGATTTGTCCTGACCGTGGGCCAGGCAGGAAAACTCTACCTACAGAACCTTCTTTGAAATAACTCAAACACATTCCTTCCCCTTCCTTCTGCACCTTCTAGCCCGGGCTGTAGAGCGTCTCTGCTCCATCAAGTCTATCCTGAGCTTAGACCTTGTGGCCATGGAAAGCACTTTAGAGCACATCCTGCTGGTGGATATGCCCTGTCTGAGTCTGTGCGAGCAATGTGGTGCTCACCTTTGGGCACTACTGAGAGTGCTCACAGGGAACAGAGTCCAAGCAACTCTAGGTTCTCAGGGCTCAGGGCCTCCAGGTGAGTCCTGGCCTAGGCTTTGAAGCAAATGAGAATCTTCCAGGAGGGACTTGGAAGTCTCTGTGCCATCTATCTGCTTCTGTGACATATAGGCACATGCAGGGTACAGTCATTGTCTGCTCCCTAAGAGTCCTGCCCTGAATTCCATATATGACTACATGGCAGGACTGTGCCCTACAGTGATACAATAAAGACATAGAGCTGGGGACTAAGAACATCCATTGGCACATTTGTTTTCTCAAAACTGTGACACGTAGGCTAAGATATTGTCAGTGAGACACAGATCAAAATCATGCAACTTGGAATCATTTGGAGTAAAATATTGAAGGAATTAGTAACTCAGTCAATGTGATTCAGGCCAGTTAAACTCCAGGGCACCACATTCGATAAACTGTCATTTACATCACTTACTTCTTGTGCCTGGCTTTCCCCATCCATACAATGTGGACAAGGACAACACCTAGGTCACCTGGATGCTTTGAAGACTGAGAGAATGCACAGCTGCAGCCTAGTCCATAGCCTGGCCCCGTTGCATCCCCCAGGACATCTAAACTGGGATGTGGGGACAAGCAGTTGCATCAGAGATAGAGGCAAGTTCAAGACGATAGGTCAGCAGAGGATGTGACGGGCAGGGCTTTCCCAGGGAAAGATTAGGGCTGTCTTCAGGGAAACCTGGGCTCAGGAGTCATTAGGTAAGGGTATGCCGAGCTATGGTGCATGGGGAACATCAGCAATCCATGGGGCTCAGCTTGGAGGGCGGCGGCTTCTCTGTTCACGCTGATAGAGATAAGGACAGGGAAAGATTAAGAATGTAAGACAAGGCCACAGAAAAGTGCTGCCTGGCCTATGCTAGGAAGAGGGTTGGTACCCTGCTGAGCAGGGAAGGTGAAATTCTTTGGGATACTAGAACCCAGCCACAAGTATTTCAGAGGATATGAATCATCAGGGGTGAAAGACTCTATAAAGCAGAGGTTCTCAATCTGTGGGTTGCAACCCCTGTGAAGTCCAACAACCCTTTCATAGGGGTCACCTAAGACCATCTCCATATCAGATATTTACATTAAGATTCATAACAATGGCAAAATTACAGTTATGAAGTAACAACAAAAATAATTTTATGGTTAGGGGGTCACCATAACATGTATTAAAAGGGTCACAGCATTAGGAAGGTTGAGAACCTCTATTCCAGAGGATCTCTAGAGAGATGCCAGCTTTGTATACAGACTTGAGATTTTCTCACTAGATACATGCCAACCTTTGTTCTTCATTTTGTAGTCTTGAATTTGTAAAACTTGCATTGAGTCCAGAGCTGGGTTCACCTCTGGCCATTGCTTACCTGTGGCTCCTTAAAACATGCAACTAGGTAATGGTAAGTACAATTTAAATTTAAATGTATATAGTTACATGTAGCTACTAGTTACCAGGTTGAACAGTGGTGTTCTGGAGCAAAGTGGATTACAGAGGGATTGGACTTGTAGTCAACACTGGCTTATGCCTGAGTCTCAAATGCAATATGTCTGTGCATATACATTTGTGTACCTGGGGGTCCTATCGGCTCAGGAGAGGGCCTCCCATTGGTCCCCCATGAGCTCTCACTTTCCTTACATGCTGAAAAAAAAAAGCATGCTTTGGCCACACTGTGCTCTTCTAGCTGCAGATTTTCTTCATGGGCTGAGGCAGGGCCTTGAACTCCAGGCAACTGACACAGATATTTAGGTGCCCCCAACCCCTCAGATCTTGGGAGACATAAGTAAGAGATAGTTGCCATTGGTTAACTTGATTAACTCTATAGGATGGGAATATCTTTGTCACCCACGTGGACATGGCTCTGGCTCCAAAGAGCCTTGTGTTTGGTTGGTCATTTTACCAAGAGGCACCTGACATTATAAGATAATTCTGAGGCAGGAATAAACATCTCTCAGACTGGATGAGTAAGTGTTGGGACATGGCGCAGCCTCACCCAGGTAGACAATGGCTCTCTTGGATTTTGCTATGAATTCACAGGTCTTGGAATTCTGAAACTGGGATATAGATAACCATGCCTTTTTTTGCAGGTTTCTGGAAATTAAAGATGTCATACCTTATAAGGCAATCATGGAAACCAAATGTTTAACACCCAGTCAAGATCTATGATGCTGGGCCAGAGAAGATGCTGGGATACTTCCTGTATAAAGAGAACCGAACCCGTGATATGCTAAGTAAGTGATTGCAGGAATCATAATGTGCTCATGATCCCAGTGGCCGAGCATCAAAGGCTGTTGGCTCTATGAGTCATGCCCCAAATTCACGTTGTCAAGTCCAGAGGTCACCTGTTCCATCTACCTCCTTCTCCAACATCTCTGAGGACTCTCCAGCCTCATGAGCTCTAGAAGAAGGTTTGGATCAAGTTGAAAATACATCCACGTGAAGCCTCACTGATCTCACAGCTATCCAACGCGCTCTATGTCTCCTCTGCCTGCCCTTTCTCTAAGGGAAACACATCTGTGACACAAAGACAGTAAGCTGAGAGAGGTGCTTCTCTCAAATCCAAATCCATAGCTGGAGTTAGCCCCCAAAGTGGTGGTAGTGGACTTTCCACAAGTTGGGGCTTGGAATTCCAAGGAAAGAAGTGCTAAACACAAAGGTGATCAGTCTCAAGAAATTGTTAGGGGAACCCACACACCACTGTGTTTTATCCTCACCAAGGACAGACAGTAAGAGAAAAGAGATGTTCTGGATTACCTACAGCCAGAGGTCACAGTTGGGGTTCACATGGGGGTGTAAGGAACTTGGATTTGGTGTTGGTACCAGCTGCTTTCAGTGTTTTGGGCGATGGCCCAAACACCTTCGTCAGTTGCCTGGAATGTTCGAGGCCCTGGCTCAGGCCGTGGGGAAAACCTGCAGCTAGCGAGTGAGCGACAGAGTGGCCAAAGCCCGCTTTTTTCCTCAGCATGTGGAAGGAAAATGAGAGTACTTGAGAGGCCGTTGGGAGGTCCTCTGCTGAGCCTTCAGATGAGCCAGCATGGCTGTCAGAGTGAGTCCCCACTTGCTCAACAGGGCCAGGCAGCTCCCAAGGTGCTTGCTCTGAGGCACTGTGTGGCCTCACTCCCAGTTTAGAAATCTGGAGACACTGGAGAAAGACAAGTGATGTTTCCATAAGCAGAGTACTGACAGTGGTACATTAAAGATTCTGATGAGGGCTGTGATCCATAGACAAACCCAATCTGTCTCTTGCCTGTGCCCTATCTATGAGGTATTGAGAGGCAGGGTGACTCATCAACTCCAAGAATCCTACCTGGGAGAGAGGCTGTGTTGTGTGATGTGCTA